GTGCAGTGGTGGCTGGAACCCTTTTTGTTTCCAATGGGGATCCGCAATCTGAAATCTAGAGGGGATGATGATGACCACAGACGCAAGTCTGCCAGGGTGGAGAACCCACTCTCAAGGGACAATGACACAGGGGGTTTGGTCTCAGGAAGAGACCTCACTGAGTATAAAATTTTTAGAACTCAGAGCTACCAGGCTGGGGCTCTTGGAATTCTACAAGATACTAACAGGTCTTCATGTTCTAGTCCAGACAGACAATATGACAACAAAACCATAAGGAACCAGATTTTGGACCTTACACACAGAAGTGAGCAACCTGGTCTGATGGGTGGAGATCCAGCTACAGTCATTGGAGGTGGTCCAGTGGCAAGCCAGGACAGTGCACTGATGGACTGGCTGAGTATATATGATTAGACCAGTCTGTATGGATGCTCTGCAAGTTGGGTTTTCAACAGGTCTGCATAAGGTACAGGATGATGGAAATGGACCTCTTTACCACAGACCAGAATCATCAGTTTCTGTGTTTCATGTTCAGAGTTGAAAACCAGCAGGCAACAGGAACACATGTTCTGAACTGCGACTGACCACAGGGATGACTGTACACGTTCCAACTGACTTGTTTCACAAGGTGATTCAAAAGCTATTGGAACAGAAGCCAGAATTGGTGTTGATGCCATGCTTTTGGCCACCAAGAGCTTAATTCCAGGATCTGAAGTGATTGTTGACCGTGGACCCATGGTGCCTACCACTGGGAAAGGACTTATTGACACTAGGATTGGAACGACATCCTCTCCCAGCCCTCCTAAACCTAACAGCCTGGAGTTCGAGTGGAAACAGCTAGAAGAGTTGATTTACCCAGACAGGGTGACAGACACCATATTAGTTTTCTAGGAAGAGCTCCACAAATAAGGTATATAACACATCCTGGTGGGTCCTTCACTCTTGGTGTTCAGAACATGATTGGGAACCATTAAATGCATCAGAGGCATCTTAGCTTTCTCCAAGATGGTTTGGATAGAGGGCTAAGCGTGAGTACATTAAAGTGACAGG